ATTTAAATATTTTTTATTTTATTTTTTTATTTCACGGTAGCTGATATGGAAGTGCCAAATCTCATTGTATCCGTTGCAGAATATAATGACAATAAAGGCTTTTTGACTTTTGACTATACTCTAATGCATGACCAGTGCATCAGCTTGTGTTTCAAGTTGGGATTCAAGTTGCTTCTAATAAAAGCCTTCAGCTCCTCTGCATTGTTGTGTCTCTCATGAGTCTCATGGTGATGCCCTATAACTTATCGGTAAGGAGAATTCTGTGCAAATCCAACGCAATGATACTGCTCTCAGTAAAGAATAGGCTGGTTATTTTATCACAGGAAGCAGCTCTGCCTTGGTTCATTTAGCACAGCTGCTGATTGTGCTAAGCTCCTCATACTAATTGTTCACCCATCTGAGCAAGAACAACTGCTTTTTGGAAACATAACTTCCAACAAACATTATGAAAATTGTTTATGACCTAAAAATTATATTTTTAAAAACTGTTGAAGGATGTATAGAAATAATGCATTATCCCCCCCCCCCCCCCCATGTGATATACAATACTATATGGCTATTTATACCACTGTTTTAGAGCTGCACCTCAGGTTGGAAGCTATGACACACTCCGTTTCAAAATACAATCTAAAACTGTTGATTTCAGAATTAATTGTTCTAAAAGTGAAGTTTCAACTCATTTAATGCAAATTGAGTGTTTTTGTGTGTTTTCAGGCGATAACCAACGTGATAAACTGCAATGTGAAAACTTTGTGCAAGGTAAGAATGCTTTGGACACAAAAGCCTGTGACTTTTACCTTATTGCAATAATCCTCAGAGCCTCATCATACACTCTCATTTCCTGTCTTTAGATGTGCAAAATAATCCTCCCAGGCATGGAGAACAGGTCTCCTATCCATGTTTTCTTCATTAGATGTAATGTTTAACAGAGTTATAATATAAAATGCTGTTCAGAGTTATCCAGTTTCCCGCTAATCTGTATGCAGTTGTTTATTTTATCCATTCATTTGGGCTCTGCAGGAGAAAAGGGGTGATTATCAACATTGCTTCAGGAATTGCTTCTTTCCCCTGCCCGCTGTATACCCTCTATGCTGCATCAAAGGTAAAATTGTTCATCAAAATAACATGTCTTCTAATTGGATCATTCACAATACTTGAAATTGATTTGGGGTTATGCAGATCTTTGTGGAAAGATTTTCTCAAGGTCTTCAAGCAGAGTACAAGGACAGAGGGATCCTCATACAGGTACTCTCTTTCTCCAAGACTTAGAATAACAATTAATCAGAAAGTATTTGCTCTGATTCCCAAAAACCCTTTTTTTAGGCAGTTGCTCCATTTGGGATCTCTACTCGGATGGCACATTTCCAGAAAGCCAACATTGTTACTCTGCTGCCAGAAGACTTTGTACAAAAATCCCTGCAGTACCTCACAGCCGGAGAAAAAACCCATGGCAGCCTCTGTCACACAATCCTGGTAAAACCACAAATTACTCATGATACCAAATTAAAATTCTCTGTAAAAGCCCCTTGAACTTTTCACATTTTGCCACATGCAACCAGAGTCTTCAATGTATGTTATATGGATTTTTTTGTGTAGGTAAAATTAAGAAGTCTGTATTTGCAAAATTAGAATAATTGTTTATATTTGTATACACTCTTCCATGTATAAAAAAAAAAATCTGAAAATCTCACAAAGTTGTTTAGAACATTTTTACATGGAAACTTCTAAATAATTTGTCTCCAAAAAGCCACTTTGTAAGTAAACATTTATCCAATGCATTTCTGAGCATAAATCCGGCTGATCTCTGTTGGCCTCAAATGTTTATTGGAGAACATTAGAGAACAAACAGGATCAAGAGCCAAACATAACACAGCAGAACGGTCAGACAAAATGTTGGTCAGATGATACAACCATCAGCCACATAGAATTAAAAAGAGAAATGTGAAAAAAAGTATAAGAAAACTGCTATGGTTACACAGGAAGAGCTATAGAAATCCCTGAACCAGGTTGGAAAATCTGGTGATAATGTTTCCTTTCCCCAAATTCCACAAGTCCTCCAGTTATGGAACAGAGGCACAATGAAAGCCATAGTACATACGGTAACAGAAAACGTTTTTTACAAAGCTTGTTAGACGTCTTGTAGGTGATGCACACAACAAACATTTGGAAAATGCTGTTCAGATATGACCAGAAGTAAACATTTTGGCCATCATGTGAAATTTAATATGTGTGCAACTCCAAAAAAATAAGAATGTGCTGAAATCTTTAAGCTAGGTGGAACAAGCCCATAAAGACTTTAATTTGCAGGCAGATACTCAAAAATTATACTCAAGTAAGACTAATACTATGTGAAAATTTTTTTTAATCAAGTAAGAGTAAAATGTAACAATCCAAGAAATTGTTCAAGACAAAAAAAATATATTTTGTTAAACAGCTACTCAATTACTCAGTAACTAATCATAACATCCAATGTTTGAAAAATCAACATGTATCTAGTTTATGTGCAAATTCGGATGTTTTAAAGACTATAATGACAATTATATAACAATTAAAACAGGTGATTGTCAGCAAAAAAAACAAAACATTCTAATTTAGAAAAAACACTTCTAACCATTTTTACATATTTAAAATGTTTGAAACCAGAGACTTCAGTGACAATATTTACTCCTTACGGTATATTAACATGAGCCCCTAATGTCATGGTGGGTTCAAGTAAGCCCATTTCACATAAACATTAAATATTTGTCTTTTTCACACTGGAGGGAGTAGGCAAAGATTGTATGTTAAATATCACAATTCAGGTAAGAGTATATGATATGTTATAAAGATATTATTCAAGTAAAAGTAACAAGTATGGAGCAGGTAAACTACTCCTAAAATAATATATTTTTTTGTCAAAAAGTTACTCTGTTTCTTTTTTCTTTTTTTTTTTTACAAATAATTAGAGAAACACATGAATCATTTTCATTCCTCTTCACAGTTATGCATTACCTATTAAAATCTAAGGGGTTTTGTGATAGAAATGTCCTGAAAAAGTGTTTGTACAAGGTGCTGGCAGACTAAGTGGTCCTAACAGATGTGTTTGTGTCGTTCATTTAGGGTTGGCTGCTGCACTCTATTCCACTTAAGGTTCTCCATTCCGAGTATGTGCTGCAAAAGTTACAGAACTACATCGAAAAGAAAATAGAACAGGAAGAAAATGGTTCTACATGAAAATAGACACATGGAAGTGGTAGGTAGAAATAGGAAACTATGAAGATTGTAAATCCATCTTTTTTTTATTTTGGCTTTCTAGTGGCTTTTATTCATCAGTAGAGGGAGAGAAAGGAGGTTGGATAGAGATGGGGGGGGGGGGTTCAGCAAAGGTCTCTTGGTCTGGATTTGAAACGATGGTGGCTGCATTGAGGACTGAGACCTTTGAGCGTGGCACCACTTTCTCTACTTTACTCCCATGCTGTTTTAGTTATGGAACAGGTGGATGTTGTGAACATGAAATAAGTGAATATAATGATCTCTGTTAGTTTTATTTTGAAATAACTCAAATGTGCCATACTTATGTGCAGCTATACTGTTTCATTGAACAAATGTTTTGGAATTTCTGTTTTGAATCCTGTTTTTTTATCATTCTTCTACTATGTAGCATTTTAAGCACACATATGCCAGTTTAATGTATAACGCACAAGCTGTAGGATATGACATAGTATATAACCCATCACCCACTGGCTCATTTTGAGTGTTTAGAGTAACAATGCATGAAATATGCAAATATTGATATTAGTACATGATACTTATGCCATACCATTTTTGAACCTTGTTGAATAAAGTTCTTTAAAATAAAATGACAACAGATTTATCTCTTATTCACTTTTTCTTTATATGTGGATATAAAGTGATTCAAATCTGCTTAAAGAATAATGTTTCATTGCGTTGGTGCTGTCTTATTAATGAAAAAAAAGTAAAAAAAAAAAAATCATTTTCTAGCAGAGAAAAAAAAATCATAACACCGACAAATAAGAGAGCAAGGTGTTTTCTCTAAGATCTTTAAACCCACAATATTTGATAAACTTTTCAATGAGAGAATAAAGGAGCTGAAGATAAACATAATATAATTAATGAATGTCAGCAGGGCTGGACTAGGTCTACCGTAAGTATAATCCAGGCTTTTTTGGTAGCCCACCATGATTTGTTATATGTTATGGGAAGATACTCAGCATATCAGAGGAATAATGAATAAGAAGTGCACATGAGATGGTTACAGAAATGAATGTATAGAGGAAGAAATTATTCAAGCCTAAAGGCAAAATATTGAGTAACTGATCATCTCACTTGATTTGCTGTTTAGACAAATATTGAATCAACAAACAAGAAATTGTGGACTAATCCTGGTATTGTAAAAACTAAAATAGAAAATGTACAAAACTAACTGTCTAATGCAGCAACATGGAACTGGTATTTACAGGAGTTAATACATATTTGCTACTGCATATGTACTTGATCTCCAAATGGCTTAGCAGAAAATTATATTTAAACAATCTTTTGTTCAGTAAAAATGTATAATTTCAACATATATGTAGGCCTGTGTATCAGGTACATTTAATTCCACTAAGGGTAGCACAATAAATGAAAAACTATTACTCAGGTGAATTTTATCAAGTGTATTTTTGTTCATATAAACCTATATATGCCAAGTTAACATTATGTTGTGAGTTACAAATTTTACTAAATTATATATATATATATATATATATATATATATATATATATATATATATATATATATATATATATATATTTCTGCTTCAGCTTTTAAGCACAGCATCCCTATCTAGTAAGCAGTATGTTTATAACAGGAAAATTTCTTCTTCAGAGACAAATAACTTTTGTCAAGACTCAGAACAGAAGGACCCAGTATTCAGGCAAGATAGACTGCAAGATAGCTGCAGTAGCAGCGTCTGAGGCAGGAAACTCTGGAGAGAGGAAACACAGGTTAGTCACCACGAAACCTGGCGCAGGATGCTATGAACACGTGATTCACTAACCTGGTTTCTACTTCAGTCCGTGCCCAGAGAAAAAGGTAGGAACTGGTTAGGTTCAGGAAATCAGAAACACCAAGGTATTAAAAGAAACACTCACCACAGGCTGGAGAGAATAATCTGGCCCTGATGACTGAATGCAAGCAAATTTAATAGAGGCAGGAGCAGGTGGATCAGGTGAGCAGTGATGAGAAAGAGTTAGACAGGTGAATGGAATGAGTAATTAAGCCAGTCATCAGTGCCAAGATCATGAAAATTGTCTAATTTCTTCTGTTAGTTCTGCCAGTGCAAACATTTTCTGTTTCTTCTTACCAGGCTGGTTAGTAGCTGTTCTGTTCTTCCTAGGTTGTCCCTGCTGGATCCCGTCTTTTTCTTCCTGCATTAGCCTACCTCTCCTTCCTGCTACTCCATTCCCACATGTGGGGCTGCTCTTGTGTTTTTGCAATTTGTTAGGAAATATCAAGGGGCAGTATAAGGTGATCTCTCTAAATCTGGTCACCTCAAGTTTGATCAATCAGCAGTGAGGGGAAGGGTGTACCAAGTAGGTTTAGGCATTTAAAATAATAAATGGGGCATGTTTCATTTATCACCATAAGCCCACCAGGCATATGCCGTTTGCCCAATGGCCAGTCCCGCCCTGAAAATCAGTATGGCTCAATAATGATAATTAATGCTGCAGCTAGTGTCACATCAAAACCAGAATTTGAACCTTTACAGTAGCAGCAAATTTGAAACACTTGGGAAAAAAATGGATAAAAAGGGGAATATAAACCAGGAAGAGGTTTAACTAGGAGGGGTCTGTTGGTGGGATCTCTGAGATTCTCTAGGAGGAGCGCTGTGCTGGATTTTAAATTATCTGCAGTGAAGTTTGAGCTAATTCCTATGATTCAGGTGGAAGGAGATGGAGGACCTGAGAGCTGAAGTGTTTGCAAATCCTGGTGGGGGGTGAACAGGTGGGTTTAGGGAACCAAAGTTATTGAACAATGGAGAGGAGCAGGTGAGGTTCTTTGTTTTCCAAGTAAAGGAAGACGCCAAGCAAACACAGACCTGGATCTCCAGGAGATATTTCTCCTGGGAGGAGTCAAAGAATGTAAGCATGCATCTGTCGAGTAACAGTTTGGAACAAGAGAGGAGGCCTAGTAACCAATGAAAACATGATCTGTCTTTTTGGGGAAATTATCTCTTAAATGTTCCTCCTTGGTGAACTCTTTAGGTGCACCTGAACTTCTCAACGTGTCTGGATCCACTCTGAGGAGAACAGGTGAGAGGCAACCCTGATAAGCATCTGAATTCAACCTCACAGATACAACAGTTGGAATAATCACTGACTTAAAAAACCCTTTGATTCTCTTTATCATAAATTTAACAGTAGCTTTGAAATGATTTAATGCTATTTAAAGAATTTTAATACAGTGTTTTTAGGGGAGAGTGTAATTTTACTGTATGGGTTTGAATTTTACTTATTTTATTCTGTCTTATTACATATTTTATTTTGCCCTATTGTACTTACAATTTTATTTTTCTCTCTTCTGTAAATAAGGTGCACGGCAAGAAAAGGATTTCCTGCAAGTAACTCTGATTCTGATTAAGAGGGGCTCTGTGTAATTGGAGGAAGACATGATAGAAGAAAGCTTAAAAAAATTGTGAGAATAAATTGTACAAAAAAAATATTGAAAAGTTTAATTCAGTTACACAGTTAAAAGTTAAGCTTAAAATAAAGAGGTACTTTTTGAAATTAAGGAGACTTTAGTTGTTGTTTTTTTTTTTTTTATTTCAGTTGACTTTTCTTTGTTCAGAAAAGATTGGTCAGATGTAGGCGTGAAAAGTTTGTTTTAAATCAAAGAGGGGCCCACCAAGACATTTACAGAACCACTGCCAATAAGAATATGATGTGGTCAGTGGAGTGGAAATGAACCAGAGTCTGGCAATAATAAGACAACAAACATTTCTCAAAGTCATGGTTTTTCTTGTATCATGCATTAATTTTTAGGAAAACACTATGATGATAATTGATATCTTCATATTGTTACATCAATCAGTAATAATGAAGATGCAATGCAGGCTCCTGGCCCTACTGACTTGAACATAGGTCTTTTGCTGGAGGTGCTCCCTCTGGTGCATCTGATGTCAGGAATGGCCTGAAGAAGAGCTGGCAGACGAATCACTTTCAAATGAGCTGCAAGAAATGAAAAGGGGAGAAGTTACATCTTCATATTACAGTATTGTAACGGCCAATTAATAACACAAGTTGCACCAAAATACAAAATAATACAAAAAATCTCTTGAACCTGTGCCCCGTGTGTATTTATACACAAAGTTTAAATAAATACCTAAATTGGAGGGTTAAGCCTTCTCAGTACATGGCTAACTTATAACCATTGAGAGACTTCTGGAGCTGTCTTATTAAACCTGAACTGTTCATAGAAGTTTAAAATCTTGCACTTACACTTTAGATCTACACACTTAAGACTAAAATTCTACTCTTGAAAATCCATAGTGAATATGCTCCTGTTTGATTTTCACATTTTCTCCTTTAGCCTGGCCCTCCTGTTTTTCTCAGAGGGTGAAATGTTCCTGTGCAGACATGCCCTATAACAAACTGCAGTAGTTCCTGCGAAGACTTTTAAATGTTTTGTTATTTTTATGACATGTCTTTGGGCACATTGATGTCTGGTTTTAGGTTGTACTTTCTTGTGCACAGACCTGGGCACGGTGGCAGTTATTCTGAATGTCTCCTCCTGTAGCCTATTGTATTCATGGTGGAAATAAAAAAATATTCTCAGACCTTTTAAGTGCCTCTACCAGGCTAAGAAGCAGCTACAATCATCTCTCTTAAGATCTCAGACAGGTCTTTGCTTTAACCAAAGTGTTCCCTATGGAGGCAAGTTTCAACGAACCCACTTAACCTAATGTCTGACATATAGGCAGGAAAAAAACTTCTTCACAATGGTGAGTAAGAACGCTCTAATGACGTGCACTTATATAAATTCCAAAGGTGTAATCTCAGCCACTGGGACTAAATTTTAGACTCTCAGACATATACCTAGTGAGAGTATATATAATGTATTAGTTGTTTGTGTGTTTAACAGAAAATAGTAAAAGTATTTCCTTTTGATCTTATTCATCTTGTTTTTATTTATTTCCTTTGCATTGTTAGAATTTACAATAAATATTTATATATTTAAATGTGTTGAAAAGCACAAAGACTCTGAGTGTGTGTTTTAAGTTTAATTATATAAATGACATCCTATTATCAGAAAGAACATGAATGATTTATGAATAAGGTGTTGCTGCTGACCTTAACGTATTCACCTTGCAAATAACCGTGGGACCCATCAGCAAAGACAGCATACCTCATTTCCAGCTGGACCAGAATGGTAACAAAACAGGAAGACACTGCTTGGACAGGTTCTTCATGCTGCTGCAAATGATGCAATAAAACTATAGAGACGTCCTTCGTTAGCTGGTAGGAGAGGTTGACAAGCCTGTTTGTGCTGCTGGGGTGTCTGAACAAAAAAAAAGCCAAAAATCATATGAGAGCAGCATGTTTAGACAGCCGTGATGTGCGATCCTCCCCCATTAGAGATAGAGCAGGGAAGGGGAGAAGAAAGGGAGATGGTCAGAGTGACCCCAAGCTTAGATCATCCACGCCTGAACTGACCGTTTCAGGCTAAAACTAAATGTCAGCCACTGAAAGGTGGATAGTCGTTATTTGTTCTTCATGACCTTTAATCAGATGGTATTAAACTGTAACAATCGATCACTCAGACAGAGAAATCAAACGAACGAATGGGCA